GGCGCAATGGTTGGGAGTGGTGGGTTTGTCGGAGGGAGCCCAGCCCCGGCCACCCATCCTCCCAGCCCCGGGGGTGGTGCAGAGCGCTGGCAGCTAATTGCTCTCCCTGGGGAGTTTGTCTTCTAAACACTGCTTCAGCCTTTAAATGTCACTCTTTTAAAAAATTATGCCTGTCAGGTTTGCTAATTGTTTATGAGCACGTCATGTTCTCTCCTCCGGACCGCGTTCCCCACCCACCTGCTGCGGTGGAGTGGGGCTGAGCTCGCCGGGGCTCCGGTGCGTTCGTGCCGCGGTGCGGGGAGGTGCCGGGGGGATGCGAGAGCCTGCTTCTCCCAGCCAGGCACGGCGTCTGCGCTGGTCCCGCTCTGCTCCTTTGCCACAGACACCTGCACAGCCTTGGGCAGGAGCCGGCGGATCCCCTGCCGTGTCCCTGGGAGCTGGGGCTGGTCCAGCCCCCCATGTTGCTGCAGCTCCAGCCCTGCTCCCTCTGCCCCAGGAGCCTTCCCAGGCTCGGCTGGCTGCATCTGGCTGTGCTCGGGGAGCACGAGGCCGGCTGGAAAACCAACCGTGACTGCTTTGGGAGGGATGGAGGGGGAGAGAGGGGGTGTTCCTCCTGTGGAGTAACAGGGTTGGTTCTTCTGCAAGCTTGTGGGCTGCAAACAGACTCTAGCGTGGTCCTGGACTAATGCAGCGCACATGGAGGAGAGCATGAGTCCCCCAGGGTGGGGAGGCTCTGGGCTTCCCTGGCTGCATTTGATCCATCGGCTCACATCGACTTCTTTCCCTCCAGCCCTGGGGGTTCCCAGCTCGCGAGTTCCTGCGGAAGAAGCTGATCGGGAAGGAGGTCTGCTTTACCGTGGAGTACAAGACCCCGCAAGGCCGGGAGTACGGGATGGTGTACTTGGGGAAAGGTGAGCGCAAAGGGGTCTGTCGGGCACCAAAAGGGCTGGTGGGGAGTGCGCAGCGGGAGCGTGCAGCGCTCTTAGCTGGAGCGCGTGGTGGGAGTGTGTGGTGCTCTTAGCCGGAGCATGCAGCAGGAGCGTGCGGTGCTCGCAGCCAGAGCTACTGTCTGAGAGGTTGGATTGGGGTGCGGTGTCGGCAGCAGAAGGATGCATGCCCACTTTTTGGTGGAGCACTAGCTTTTGGAGGGGAGCGATGCTCAGCGACGGTCCCAGCTGATGGCAGGGCTACGCAGAGCCGGAGCACGGCCGTGCTCTCTGGAGCCGCAGCCACTGGTTGATGCACCGCAGCACACGGATGCAGGCCGTGGCATTAGGTGAATTCCCACAGGTTTCCCCTTGCCATCCTTTTTGTTGTTATAAATCTCTTGCTCATCTCTGGCTGATTGAAATCTCCCAAAAGGAACCAGCTTACCTGTGGCCCCTGAGGATGTGGCAGAGCGCCGGGAGCGAAGCTGCTCAGCCCAAACGCTGCGCAATGCCTGCAGGCAGCACTCTCCGTGGCTCAGAGCAGCTTGGGGCAGGGTGGCCTTTTGGTGCTGGTGCAGGTGGGCTTTGGCTCCGGTTAGGTCCCTTCTCATGGCGAGCACGACGCCAGACTGCACTCTGCTCTGCTGGGCTTAGCTCCTGGTTAGACTTCCCGTGCCCTTGGGTTTCAAGAAGGGGGGCGAGACCCACTCGGTGCGGGTGGGCTCCTGGGAAGCGGGTGCTCACCAGGACCCAGCTTGTCCTCCAGTGCCACCCGGCTCAGGGTTGCCGGGGCAGACGGATGCACCGGCTCAGCACGGGGCAGGGGATGCGCTGAGCGAACAGTGCACCTCTGTGCTCACCAGAGAGTCGGTGCGGAGCTGGGACAGCCCCACGACTGGGATATTTGGGATACGACCAGGGTGTAGGTCGGGCTCAACCAGAGCTCCCTGGCAGCCTCCTCTCCCATGGGAGGCTCAGCGGGGTAACTCGTTGCAGTTGGGGGAAGGAGGGAAGGACCAGGCGTGTGCAAGGGGCTGTAAAGGAGCTCAGGGGCTGCTGAGTTTTGGGTGTGCATCCCCTGGGGTAGCTCCCGTGCAGACTAGGGGGTCGGGTGCCCTCGGCCCCATGTCCCTGTGGACTCTGCTGCTTGTGGCTCAGTTGTACAGGGCCAGACTGGAGAGGGTGAGCACCCGCTCACTCAAGGCATCCTTGTCTCCAGATGCACATCCCGGCATCGCTGTGGTGCTCGGGGCCTTTCCTGCAGTGGAAGCAGGAGGTTGGTTCAAGCAGCAAATGGCCGGGACTTGCTGCCACAGATGGGGTTTGTCCCAAGGCAGCACGGCACAAATGGAGCAAGTGCTGGAGGCCCAGTGAGAAAGGAGGTGGCCCACGATTTGGGGAAGAGGCTCCCTCTGGGTCTGCAGCAGGAGTTGCTGGTGCCTGTGGCTGGGCAGGACGAGGATTGCCAGCTATCAGCTCTGCTGCATGGCCAGAAAGCCCAGCATCGCTGCTGGCTCCTGGTTCCTGGCTGCAGAGGATCAGCAGGTGCATTCACAGCCATGCAGCTCCCCAGGGAGGCTGGAGCTCTGTCCTCAGAGGTTTTCAGGCTCAGCTGCACATGGCCAGGGCCAGCGTGGCCCGTGGTGGGCAATAGCCCTGCCTGGACCCCCTTCCCACCAGCACCTTGTGGCTGCTGCGAGGGTGACCCAGGGCTGGCTTCCCATCGCTGCTGCATCCTGGTGCACTCCAGCCAGCATCTCCTGTGTCCCTATGGGGGTCCCCCTCCAGTGCCAGAATGTGAGAGCCCCACGGTCCCCAGGCTGTGAGAAAGGGGACCAGGGCACTACATGCTGGCTGTTCCCCGAGACCACGAATAACTGGATATCGAAGTTACCTCCATGCTCATTCCTGAGCTTCCAGTTTGCTCGTGGGCTGGGGGACTGGGAAGCCCTTTGGGATGGGCTGCAGAGGCGGGGGATCATAGTTTTGGAGAGCAGCTGCTCTCTGCTTTCCCACCCCATGGGCCGTCCTTCAGCAGGAAGCCTGGCAGGTCCCGACAGCGTTGTCTGCAACAAATAAACCTTGAAATGGGTTTTGTTGTTCGGTGACACCGCGATCAGTAAAGTGCTCCCTTTCAGTCATCTGCAGCTTTGTTGTCTGCCATGTTAAGGACTCTTATGCTGTGCCTCCCGTGTAGGTGTCGTCCTTATTGTTAAATCCCAGCCTGTCACACCGCGGAGGTAAGAAATGAAGCATAAAATGTTTCCTGATGAAGTTTGTCAAGGTTTAAATACTGTTAATATGGAAATGCTGCGACAACTTCCCTGGCAGCAATGCAGCAGCTGTCTGTGGCTCCAGGCTTTCGCCTTCGATTTGGAGGGGTGGGGGCTTGCTGTCGCTTGCCGGTGGCGGTTAAATCCCAGCCTGTCACACCGCGGAGGTAAGAAATGAAGCATAAAATGTTTCCTGATGAAGTTTGTCAAGGTTTAAATACTGTTAATATGGAAATGCTGCGACAACTTCCCTGGCAGCAATGCAGCAGCTGTCTGTGGCTCCAGGCTTTCGCCTTCGATTTGGAGGGGTGGGGGCTTGCTGTCGCTTGCCAGTGGCAGCTGAGCTGGAGTGGAGGTGCTGGGGAAGGGTGGTGGTCTGGGCAGTGCCCTACACCCCCTCCCCGGCCACCCCCACTGCTGCTTGGAGCCGTGCAACCCTGTGCCCTCCCTTCTGCGTGGGCAGCTGGGGGTGTCTCCTGGGGGATTCTGCCCAAATCCTCCTGTTTATCCGCTCTCCCTGGCCTGGGATCCTCCTCCAGCCCATGGCGTTTGCCCCCAACCTCCCTGGGGGCTCTGGCTCCCAGTAGCTGTGAACCCCCTGTGTTTCTGCAGGGGAAGGATGCCTTGTGCAGAGGTGGCCGTTGCAGGTTGTGCTGGCACCACAGCCTTCGCTGCAAATCCAGAGAGCCCCTTTGGTGCTGGGAGGGCATTGCCTGCCTCTGAGGACATCCCTTTCCCATGGAGACTGTCCTGGATGACAGCACACCTTGCAGCCCGGCAGTGCATCGGAGCAGCGTGCCGCCTTCCCACTTGCTTAGCCCTGGTCTGGGGGAAATGCTGTCCCCAGGAGGGCCCTGGGCTCAAATGCTCCGCTCAATGCGTCGTGAAGGCCATGTGCTGCTGGGACGCCGGGCTGGTGACAGAAACCTTTTGCTCCTGGTTTTCTCTGGCACTTGTTAGCTGGAATTGTCTTGGGAGTGCTTTCCAGGACTGAGGTCTGTGTGCCTCTGGGCCGCGCCGCACGCTGGTGGCTTGTCTCACTGATTCCTCTCCTCTTCTGTCCGCAGACACGAGCGGCGAGAACATTGCTGAGTCCCTGGTGGCCGAAGGGCTGGCCTCCCGCCGGGAAGGGATCCGAGCCAACAAGTACGTATGCGGCTGCGTTCCTGCGCTGCCCCGGTGAGCCCGTGCTGCACAGCCGCGCTGATCCTCTGCGGTTATTTACCTGGGCGTGGAGCCGTTGGGTTCCTCAGCTTTGGCTGGGCACCCACCCCTGCTCCAGGGCTCTCTGCGATGCCCGGGTTTCACAGGCATCGGTATCCCAGCATGGTCACCCCTTGTCTTTAGGGTTGGGGTGCTGAGGGGTTGTGGAGGGGGAGATGGGTGTCTCTTTGCCCTGGGTGCTGAAGCACCAGAGCTGTGGCCCTGGGCTGCAAAGCAGAAAATCTTCTGAAGCTTTTGGTCGCTGGAAAACAATGCCTAGCGTGGAGTTGAGGTGCTTTAATTCATGCTAGAGAGGTGATGTGGTGATGTTCCTTTCCCTCGTCCTACGTCCGGGCGGTGCGATGCCTGTGCCAATGCCACTGGAGCTGATGCCGATGCTTTTTCCCGGACCCGTTGTGTCCCGGAGCAAGGGAGAAGCCTGGCCTCAGTTGCAGTGTGCCCACATCCCCGTGCACGGCCCCGGGGCGTTGGCTATCCTGTTCCAGGGGTGCGAGTTGTTTCTGTGGCGCTGCTATAAATACCAGTCGGACGCTATTTCCATCCCCGCGCCTGCTGGGCTGGAAGCTTGCCCGTGTCGCTTCCTAAAACTGTTCCTGGCACACTTGGATGCTTTCCACCCAGTGTTTTCGGTAGTGCAGCCTGTAAACAGGTACGTTGCGTAAATAGAGCATGCATTGCCAAGGGCGTGAATGGGTTATTTTATGCCCAGGCTTGACAGTGGTGAAGCCTCGAGTGCCGGCAGGTCCTGCTTGCTGCCTGCCTGGGGACGTAGTCCTTGTCCCAAGCCCTTGGAGAACGTGCTCCCTGCCTGGTGCTGGTGGGCTCTGGGTGCTGTTGGCAGAGTTCAGTGGCTCTGTTTTGGCATGGTTGGGGACCACCGCAGGACAGTGATGCCTGGGAGAGGCATGAAAGCTGCTGCGCCCGCGTTGGAGGGTCTGCAGAAGCTGCCAGCCTGCGGGGCTGCTGGGGCGGGGGGTGAGGAGCTGTGGGGAGAGTGGGTGCAGCACCGACGGTGGAGCCTGGCGAGGACCGGGGGGTGGGAAGAGGCATGAAAGCTGCTGCGCCCGCGTTGGAGGGTCTGCAGAAGCTGCCAGCCTGCGGGGCTGCTGGGGCGGGGGGTGAGGAGCTGTGGGGAGAGTGGGTGCAGCACCGACGGTGGAGCCTGGCGAGGACCGGCGGCGTTTGTAGGATGAATGGGGGAGTTCAGCTGGAGTCAGCTCTTGCCACCCTATCCTGGTTCTGCACCTCCTGCATCACTCTTGAGCTGCAGAGATGGAGTGAAGGAGGAAAGCCTCTGCCTGCCAGTCCACTGGGGTCTTTGCACTGACTTTCTCCTGCTTCCCATTGGAAATGTCCCCTGGGGGCCCTGCAGAGGCTTGTGCTGAAGGGGGACGCGAGCCCACGCAGGGCTGGTTGCAAGCAGCCGGGCCGTGTTGGCTGCCTACGCTCGTGGCTGGTGGCCGTGTGACGCCCACGGGTAGCTGTGCTCACACGGTGTAGGGACAGTCATTAGAGACCACCGGGGCCGGTGCTCCCCCAGGCGCCTGGAAGTCAGGGTGATGGGCCAGGCAGGACCTCGGCTCTGACTTGGTTCCTCTGTGCTCGTCCCTGCTTTCCAGCCAGCCTTCCCCGCTGAAGCCCCCTCGCCTGGCCGCGTAGCCCCCTCCCCTGGCTCTACCGCAGGAGCACCTCGGCTGCGGCTGTGCCGCTGATCGCATCGGAGGACGGTTGTGTGGTGGTTCAGCTAAGGAGAGCAGAGCAGCCCCACGCCTGCTGCTCGGAGAGCCCCTCGCTCCAGCCAGAGAGGTGACCGAGGTCCCCCGTGCACTTGCTGCCTGGGACTTTTCAGGTGCTTTTGGACTGGCCTGTTGTGCTGAAGAGAAGAAAATTGGGGTGCAGGTTGGGTGCTGTTGTCCGCTGCTTGTGCTGGGGGGACCTGGGCAGCCCCACGGGGACCTTCTGGTGGCTTCGGGCTTGCAGGGGTTCGCTGCTCCTCTCCTTCAACCTCCTCCTGCAAGTGCACCCAGTGGGTAGCACGCCCAGTAAAGCCAGTCACCCTGACCCCGGCGATGATGGCGCGGGAGCAGGACATGCAGCCCCCCCGAGGCTGGGTGATGCCGCTGCCACGAGCTCCATCACCAGTGCGACGGGGCTGGTGCAGCGCAGTTAGCACAGGACTGAGGTTCCTGCAATTAAACATTGCCTGGAGCGTGCTGCTGCTCAGTGTTTGCTCTCCTAAATCAAAAGGTGTGTTAATTAATGAGTGCATGAGGTGATTCTCGGCCACTCACTTGTCAGCTGCTCAGGTTGGGTGCTTCTGCGGTAATTCGGGATTCATCAGGTTGCAGCTTAGCCCTGAGCTGAAGAATGCTAAAACACAGTGTCACCGAATTTGTTTAACGAGTTATGACAGCACGTGGCGGGGCTGGCCATCGGCACTGGGAGGGGGCTGCTGCTGTGCTCTGCCTTAGGCAGACGCCTGTGTGTGCAGGACCGGGGACGCTCTGTGGTTTGGTACGGCACGTGAGCCGCATGCCTGGGTTTGCTCTCCCTCCTCCCCCAAAGTGTGCTCTGCCATGCCAGGAGTTGGGGCTGCCGCTGCCCTGTCTCCCCAGGGCTGCCTTTCCATCACAGTGCACAAAGCAGCCTGTGAAAGGGTTGCGTGGCCTAAACCTCCCCGGTCTGTCAGAGGTGTGGCTTCCAGTGGCAGGTATTCAGACAAGTCTGTGCTGTGGTGCCAGAGAAACTTACTTTGATTTACTGTGTGTTGCTGTGAGCAGCACGAAGCATCGCTCACCAGCTCACCCAGGCACTGCCTTTTCTAGACGCGAGTGGTCAAATCGCTAAAGCATCCAGAAAAGTGCCTGGAAGTTGGATGTTGCCGGTGATAAAACATACGGGAACCAGCAGTGTCCTGCCTCTGACCCAGACCTGGCCTCATCCTGTCTTGTCCTGTCCTTGCAGCCCTGAGCAGAGCAGGCTGGCGGAGCTGGAGGAGCAGGCCAAGAGTGCCAAGAAGGGGATGTGGAGTGAGGGGACGGGCTCTCACACCATCCGGGATCTCAAGTACACGATTGAAAACCCCCGGCACTTCGTGGACTCCATGCACCAGAAGCCAGTCAACGGTAAGCTGGCACCAGCTCTGGCCCTCACTGCCAGGCACTGGGGTCACCCCTGTCCTCTGCTGCCTGCCTGTCTGCGGCCTCAGGGGCCGGCTGCCTGCGCCGCGCTGCTTGGGTGCTGTTCCCGGCACCCTCTCACTGCAGAGAGCTGGCTCTGGCTCTGCGGCTCCCGCCGAGCCCCTCCACAGCAGGACCAACCTCTCTGCTTTTGCTCCGCAGCCATCATAGAGCACGTCCGGGATGGCAGCGTGGTGAGAGCCCTCCTCCTCCCCGATTACTACCTGGTCACTGTCATGCTCTCGGGGATCAAGGTGAGGCTTGGCTGCTGGCCCCGGCAGGCTGGCGTGCTCAGCAGTCCTCTTTGCCGCAAGTTCCCTCTTGAATTTGCACTGCCATTCATTGTGCATCCTCCTTGGCGCCTTTCGGCACCGGTGCAAGTGTGCAGGGCTTGCACCCGTGCCTGCCCGCTGCCAGGCTTGCGGGACCAGGGCCGGGGGGGATGGAGGCAGGGGTACAGCTGCCCTGTTGCTCGCTGTGTCGTCCTGCATGCACCTTCCAGTAACAGGCTGGTTGCAGCCTGTGGTTGTGTGCATGCCACTGCGGGGTGTCACCGCAGAGATGGGAACGGGTTTGGGTTAGGTGAGTACCAGCTCCGTGCTGCCAGGCCCGGCAGCAGCCTGAGCTCTGGGCTGTCAGACCACCCTGCAAGGATCCCCTGGTCGCTGGGTGAGTGGTCGTCCCTGCTCCGCTGGCATTGGGGTGGCTGCTGGTGCGTGGGCTGGAGAGCTCGGCCACCCAGCATGGCAGGAGGCTGATGTGGAGGGTGGCTCTTGGGATGGGGGCTCCTGGGGCGGCTGGGGCAGAGCAGCCCTGCCTGCCTGCCCACCCCCAGCGGTGCTGGGGAGCCTCCTGCCTCGGCTCCCTCTCACTGTGCCCTTGCTGGAGTGCCAGAGCCTTTTTCCTTGCCTGTCTGACCCAGGGTGGATGAACCCTAGGCAGGAATATGCTCAGAGTTGGTCTCCGTACCCCAGTTTGCTCCCAGCGGTGTCTGCTGGGGCGGGTAAAGGGCTGTGTCAGTGCAACATGGCATGAAAGCATTGATATGCACAGCCCCCCAGCCTGTCTCTCCCAGAAGCTACAGTCAGAGCACGGGGGCTGTGTGCAGCCTTCGTCCCCAAGGAGGTTTCCCACCCCCTTGCCGAGGTTTTAGGGGCCAGCCTGTGCCCTGACCGTCCCCTCTCTGCTGCAGTGCCCCACATTCAAGCGGGAGGCGGATGCCCCCGAAGTCCCCGAGCCGTTTGCAGCCGAAGCGAAGTTCTTCACGGAGTCACGGCTGCTGCAGAGGGACGTGCAGATTGTCTTGGAGAGCTGCCACAACCAGAACATCCTGGGCACCATCCTGCACCCGGCAAGTGGGGCTGGCGGTGGCAAGGGATGGGAGAGGGTCCCGGCGGGCTGTCGGACCGTTGGTCATCACTTGCTGGAGATGCTAAAGGTGGTTGCAAGGTCCAGGTGCCTCCGGTGAGGGCTTAGGGCAGCTGGGAGCCGTGGGCTCTTTACTGGTGGATGTGGGAGACCATGGTTCATCTGAGCAGCCCACGAGGAGAGCAGACCCCTGTGGGTATCGCTGGGGTGGTCTCCGATAGCCCTGGGGGCACCGGGTGCTGTGGCCAGGCCTTGCAGGGCTCTTTGGGGACCTGTGACATCTAAGGGGCTGAGCAGGGTGAGTGGGCTCCCCCCTCACAGTGGGGCAGGGACAGCGGGACGCCAGCTCTCCTCAGGGGCGCAGGGGTAGATGTCGATGCCACGTCCCCCGCAGCTGAGCATGTGCCTCCTCCCCTTCCCCGCAGAATGGGAACATCACTGAGCTCTTGCTGAAGGAGGGCTTTGCCCGCTGCGTGGACTGGTCCATCGCCGTCTACACTCACGGCGCTGACAAGCTGCGTGCAGCCGAAAGGTGAGTCTGATGCCGGGAGCTGCAGGGCTGGGTGCTGGGGTGGGCACACTCTGAGCTGCACCCGTGGGGTGCCCGGGGTGACTCCAGCCCCCTCTCCCCATCCACGTGTGGCATACCCCCAGTGCTCTCCCGGGTGGGAGGTAGATGCGATCTCTCCTTGGAAGTCTGCACCAGCCCCACTGCCTCTGCCAGGGCTTTGCTGGGCGATTTAACGTACGGCACGTCCGTCCCTGCTGGGGACGCCTGCCTGGGCATCACGCCTGTCCCCCTCCCTGCCAGGTTCGCCAAGGAGCGCAAGTTGAGGATCTGGAGGGACTACGTGGCCCCCACAGCAAACCTGGATCAGAAGGACAAGCAGTTTGTAGCCAAGGTGAGTGGCTGGCAGAGCAGGGGAAGGGGCAGGCAGGGTCTGCCTGTGCGGGGATGGAGGGCAGGGTGCCCGGCTGCCCTTGCTGGCCTCTGCATGTGCTTGGACAAACCCTGGAGGGTTTTGCCTCTGCTACATCCCCACCACAGTGCACAACCGCCCAGGCGCTCACCTGGAGGGTTTTGCCTCTGCTACATCCCCACCACAGACCACAGTGCACAACCGCCCAGGCGCTCGCTGGGATCTCGGGCAGGCCTGGGGTGGGAAGAGGTGAAACAAAGCAGAGGGGAGGGGAAGGGCCCACTGTGCGTGGGGAAGGACTGGTGGGTGCCCTGGGGCCTTGCTCCAGCTGGCTGGCTGCCACAGAGATGCTCTCGCCCTGCCTGCCTGCCTGCAGAGGGCTGTTTGGGCTCAGCAGAGTTTTCCTTCCCTCTCCTGCCTGCACTTCCAGCGCAGTGTCAGGCGCAGCCCCTGCCTTGATCCCAGGGGTTGCTGGTGTGGAGCCATGGGGCTCTGTGGGGCAAAGCCCCTGGCCGGCACCTCCTTGCAGCGACTGGCCCAGCTCCAGGGCTTCGCTAGCCCCACACGTGTGAGAGCAGCTCCAGGGATGCCCCACTGCAGCGGTGCCCATGTTCCTGCCGCACGGAAACCGTGCCTACCCCTGCCCTGGTACCGTTCGGAGAGCGTAGCCGATGCAAAAGGGAGGATGCAAGGGAAGCTGCGTGGGGCTGACCTGGCCCTGCCCCAGGTGGGCATCCCTGCGGAGGAGCATCTCGCCCGGGCAGGGCCGGCTGGGAGTGTGGTGGTGGGTAGCAGTGGGCTGCGGCAGGGCGCGGGGGTCCGGACACCGCTCGGGGGAGCAGCCCGCTAGATGGTGCTGCCGGCTCGCCCAGTGCGGCAGCCAGGGGCTTCGGTTCTGGTGGAAACCCTGGGAAATGTGCAGCAGCCGGATTTCTTGGAAAGCCAGCTTAACCCCTGCGCTCCCCCTGCACCTGGGTCGGATCCTGCCCCGGAGCATCCTTCCAGCTGCTCCATCCCTGCCAGGGTCGTGCCTGGACACCCCTGCCTTGCAGGCATGGGAGTGAGCCTGGCTGCTCCTGGGGGGCTGCTCCTTCCCTGCCCGCCTCAGGGGCCGCCGGCTGCCCCGGTGCTGCCGGCTGCGGGGGGGACCGAGGTGGCAGCAGCAGGGCTTGGGGCAGAGCATGCCTGGCTGGGTGCTGGCTGGGGGGAGCTCTGGAGCTGCTGGGCAGGGCAAAGCCAGGAGCTCTTGCAGCTGGTCCAGTCTCAGCTGTGTGGTGCAACTGGCTTAATTAGCTCATCCGTGCGGTGCTGTCACTGGGATCTGCGCGGCAGCTCCTGTCCTGGGGGATGAGGCTGGGGAGGTGCTGGCTCATGTGTTAACTCTGAGATTACACCCTTCTCTGCAACTGCCCGTTTGTCAGCTCAGATACAGCTGGTAATAGCGGAGATCCCCAAAACTTCCCACCAGCTTCCCCAGGAGGTGAAGGGTTTGCTGGGCTTTTCCTCTTCAAGTGGTGTATAAACGTGGCCCAAATGCCAAGCCCAGAGGGTCTCTGGGAATGCCAGAGGTGAGAGCCCGTCCCCGGGGGGAAAGACTATGTTTGGTCCCTACCCAAGGTGCCGCTATCGCGGTGAGAGATAACACCTGGGCAAATGCCCCTGTGGGCACGGGGATGGCCGTGCGAAGGCGCTGGCGCGCTCGGAAGCACCATCCTGCCGCTGGCAGAGGCTGCTGCCGGAGCCCGCGCCAGGAGCCGGCACGGGGGCCGTTAGTCATGCTTTGCTCAGCAGCTTGTGGAGGGCTGGTGGAGGGGGCGGGTGGACGCTCCTGGCATTTCGAAGATGCCCGTTATTTTTTTGAATAGCTCATGTGCAGGCTGGGATGCTGGCAGAGAGCTGCGGCAAGCAGGTCTCTCGTCCCAAGCCCCCCGGCAAGGCAGCAAAGGTGTTTGTGATGGGTTTGGGGCTCAGCGGCATCTCCAGCCCTTGTGCCGGGCGTTGCCATGGGGCAGCCATCCCCCTGGGAGTGGTGGGAATCCACCCCCGGTGCTGTGGAGCGGAGGGGACCCCGATGTGAAGGCTGCATTCCACTTAGGGTCCTGGGACAGAACGTGCAGGATGGCCCCCAGGTTCTGGGCACAGCCCCTCGGTCTGCCAGGGTCCCCCCCCCAAGTCTGGGAGCAGTCGGCCCACCGGCTCACTGTAGCCTGGGGTCTGCTCCGGCGTGGTTTGGCTGCCCTGGCTCTGCAGTAAGAGCCCCCAAACGCAGTGAACACCACGATGCTGTCCTGCTTCCTGGGGAGGAGGTGCAGAATTTCTCTGCCTTCGGTTAAAACCTGCTCTTTATGCAGGCCCGTGCAAATCGGCATTTAGGGAGCTGTCAGCCGAAGCCCCCCCAGGCGCTGTCAGTTTTGCAGTGTCAATTTTTGGTCTTTTTCCCTTCCTGGGAATTGTAAGTGACAGGGAAAATCAGGACAAATGCCCGCATGCCTCGGAGCGCCAGAGCTGAACCCAGACCTGGGCATGTGCCCGGCCTCCCTGAGGGGCCCCGTGAGCCCCATCCGTCCTCCCAGCACCCTGCAGAGGGGTCTGAGCACCCGCAGGCAATGGGCGGGCAGGCAGCGGGCAGGCAGCGATTGCTCCGGTGCTGAAGCTGCCTCCGTGCTCGGCAGAACGCCGAGGTGCTGGTTTGCAGCGGCAGAGCTGACGTAGGAGCTGGCGGGGGGAGGAGGAGGAAGATCCCAACCTGTCTTTGCACCGTTGAGCAACCGTGGCAAATCAGCTCCGGCTAATTTTGGATCCCGCTGCTGTCGCGGTCAGCTGCTGGTGCTTTGAGTGGAGGGGTTGGTTTGGGGAGAAATTAAGGCTTGGCCTCGATTGTGGATTTGATGCCTGTGAGCGGCAAGAAGAAAAGTGGTGGAATAAAAATGTGAAGAGGCTGGAGGCTTTCTCCTGAATTCCCTACGTCAGCTTGTCTTAGAGCACTCAGGAATTTGGGACAGCGCTGCTTAGAGCTGAATACATTATGCTGAAAGCTATCTCCTGCCAAAAGCTGTTTATAATACAGCTTTGTACGTGGGGCTCCAAGGGCTGTGCGAGGTTGTGTCGTCGCATCTCCCTGCTGTGGGGCAGGATTAGCCCCCTCGGGGTTGGGGGGAGCAGTTGAGAGCAGCAGCTCGCCTGGGGTGCGCTGGGCTCCGTGGGCAGCCCCTCGGCCGCATCCAGGCTCGCTGGCTGGGCTGTGCATTGCCTCCTGCCATGCACCGACTCCAGCGCTTTGCAGGCTGGAGGAGGCGGTTGTGGATGAGCTGTGTGTCTTTTCCCCCCTCCGCCACCCCGCTTTTTGCAAAATGCTTGGAGTCTTCATCATGGCCAGATCATCTCAGATGATCTGCCAGAGCCAGCCTGGGAGCTGTTCTCCTGCCGAGCTGAGTGCCAGACCCTGCCAAAACCCCTCAAAAAGCAGTTTTCTCTCTGGGGGGGCAGCACCAGCCCCTCTCTCAGTGCTGGGTACCAGCTCCCAAAGTGCCACCGTCCCTGTCTTGCAAGGTCAGGGTGCAGGAGGTCGCTCCTGGCTTCGGGGATGCTCCCTGTGCAGCAGCCTGTCCCTGAGCCCTCTCCTGGGAGATCTAATGAGCTGTCCTCATTACTGCCAGGCAGGGAGCGCAGCAGGCGGGAGCAGGCTGCCCTGGGGAGCTGTGGGGGACAGTGGCAGCTGGGGGTATGGCCCCATGGTCCCCAGGCATGGGGGTCCTTGGCCCCCTTAGCACCCAGGGGAGCTGCTGAGGTGAAGATGGCAGCGGGGGCAGCCGTCCCCTCCATGCACCCCAGCTGGAGGAGCCTGGGTGTGGGGTGAAGGCTGTGTCCCGGGGTGGGGTTTTGGGGAACTGGCACCAGAGCATGCAGGCTCTGCAAGAAGCAGCTGCAGAGATTTTTTTTTTTTAAAAAAATCCTTTCAATCGTTTATCAAAGTGCCTTTCTGAGGCAGGTGAAGCCACAATAAATATTGGATAAAGGAAGCTGGCCACGGCAAGCTGAGAAATTGTTAGCAAGAAAAATGGCACAGCCTCTGAGGCTGTGTTGTCTCCAGTTTTGCTGCCGCTGTCACCTCTGTCACTATCCCCCCCCCTTTCCTGCCCGTGGGGTCCCTGGGGAGGGGGCTGCAAAGCGCCTTCTGCTGCTTCCCTGCATGGGTCGATGCTGCCAAGCTGGGGCTGCGGCTCCTGCCTGGAGGAGGGGAGTGGGTGCCCGAGGAGGGGTGGGCACCCGGGGATAACCCTCAGCTCCTGCTGCCGCCCTGCCCTGCCCTGCCTGGGACTTGCAGCCCCTGGGTGCCCCAGCCCCAGGTACCATGTCCTGCAGCATCCCATGCCCCTGCAGAGACCCACTGCAGCCGGGTCAGCCTGGCGAAGGGCCTTGCAAGTTAATTCCTGCCAGGAAGGGGATGCTCAGGGCCGGAAGGGCTTGGTGAGTCCCCAGTGCCAGTTGTCGGCTCCTGCACGTAACCTGGGCTGTGCCGAAGGCCGGGGTGCCGGGAGCTCGCAGCTGCCTGCCGGCAGGAGCCTGCCCTGCTGCCGCCTCCTGCCAGAGAACAAATGAGATCTGACCACTGTTCCTGCAGCTCTGGCATGGAAGCGCGGTGTTTGCGTGATGGATGTGTAATGTAGCGCAGGATTTGCCCCCGGATCTGACCTGCAGCTCCCCTGGCTGCAGTATCTTACCTTCACATCTTGCTTTTTCTAAGCCTTCTGTGAGAGGGAAGGGATAGATGCCCAACGTGCTGCTGGGGTCCCATCCTGACCCCTCCAGCGGTGAGGATGCCCTGAAGCATGAGATTTGATTACTCCATTTAGCATGCAAATTGCTTTGGGCTCGGTTCTGCCTATGAAAAACAAAGGATCTGGGTCCCGGGAGAGGCTGAGTCCATGGGTAGGGATGTCCCCTGGGGGGGTTTGCTGTGCCGAGAGGAGCTCCGGCAATCCTCAGTGTCTGCTTTAATTTTTATTCCTATAATCCTGTTATCCCTTTGGCTAAGCACACTTTGAGGGACTGATGTGCTTGCTGGGGCAAAAAGTGCTGCAAGGGGGGCAGGTCTTTGCCCTCCTCCCTCCGTTTCCCCCCGGGCTCTGGCTTGGCTCTGGGGGGATGCATGGGGCTGCCATCCTGAGCTCGTCGTGGATGAGCAACAATGGGAACCTTTTGCCCTGGTGTGACTGGGGGGACTGGGTTTGTGCTGGGAGCAGGCAGGGGAAGGTCCGTGCCCTGCCAGCGGGAATACCCGGGTGCCTTGTCCTGCTCTGCCTGCTGCCACTCGCTCTGGGCTGGAGAGCGGCATTTAATGAAAACTGAGAAGATTAAAACAGTGTGCCCTGAGCCCTGCTGTCCTCTGCCTGCCTGCACAGCCCTGCCTGCCTCTGCCACCAGTTTTTCTAATTAATTTGCTCCCCGGGTGGGTGGAAAACCACCAGCCAGGACACGATCGTGGGGTGGAAGAGTCTCTGCCGCGGGCTGTGCTCGCTCCCTCCTCTATGGGTGCATGTCCATCATCCGGTAGCGATGGCTGTGGTCCAGTCCCCTCTCTGGTTTTGTTTCTGGAGTGAAACTCTTGGGGGCTGAGCCCCGGCACAGGATGGCACATGGCTGGTGGTGTGCTGGTGTGCCGCAGCGTCACCGTCTGGGGACCTTGCAGGGCTCTGACCGACTCTGAGCTCCTTGGGCTTGGAGAGCAGGACCGCAGATGCGCCGGCGAGACATATTTGCTCCAGTGACCCACCGGGCACCCGGGATGGGGTTGGAGCTGCTCACTCTATGCCATCTGCCGGGGGCCAAAGCCGGGGTGGGTCGGGGTGTGTGCCAGAGCCTGGGCAGTGTTGCAGCAGTGCCCGGCTCCAGGACTCGTGCTGCCTGCAGGCATGGTGTTCCCCTGGGCCTCTCTCTCTCCCCAGGTGATGCAGGTGCTGAACGCGGACGCCATCGTGGTGAAGCTGAACTCTGGGGACCACAAAACCATTCACCTGTCCAGCATCCGACCCCCCCGGCTGGAGGGGGACAGCACGCAGGTGACCGTGGGGACGTGTGGTGGGGAGGTGATCGCGGGGTGAGATGGGAAGGGTGCTCTGCTCCGCTCCCCAGCGGTGGAGCATCTCTGCTGGGCAGCAATCGCCGGTGTCCGTGACCATCCCTGGATGGAATCCCTTCCCCATGAGGCGGCTCCTCTATCTGGCCTGACCCCCCCTGCCAAGTACCCCTTTTTCTTCCCAGGGGAGCCCCATCTCACGGGATGCAGGAGGCCTTGGGGAGGGTTTGAGCATGCACTTTGATGGCTGCAGGGAGACCGATGCCTCCCTTGTCTCCTGCCTCAGTTTCCCCCTCTGTATTGCAGGTGCCATTGTGGCTCTCTGCTCTGGGGAGGTGGGAGAGCCTGTTTCCAGGTTGTGGGGCTGTGGACGATGTGTGGTGGGATGCTGCTCGGGGACATGCTGGCAGATGGGTGACTGATCCCCTGCAGACTCATGCCTCTCGGTGGATGGGCAGTGGGGGAGCTGCTGCTCGGCATCCTCAGGTCCTTTGCCAGCCTCGGGCTTTGGGCTGGTGCCGTTCCTTTGCTCGTACGGCGCAGCAGCAGCTCTGCCCTCCCCTTCCCCTGTGGCCTGATGTTTGCTCATTGCTGGGGGGAGAAGCAGGAGGCCGCAGGGCTGCTGGAGATGATGCAAAGTGTGCGAAACCCTTTGGTTTTCCTTTTCCTCCCCGCTGTGCCATTCAGCGAGGTGCTCGGACGTGCTGTCCCGAGCATCTCTCCCCTCCGCTGCGGGGCTGGCTGGGGTCGGGGAGCGCTTCCCTCCTTCCTCCCCGCCTCTGGGAGGAGCGGGCTCCTCCGTCCTCCAGCTCAAAGGGATGCTGGGGTCTGACTCACGGAGATCTGCAGCATCAGGATCTGATGGAGAAATCCCAGGGGCTGAAGTCTTTGGAAAACGCCGCATTGTTCGTGCACAGCTTGGTCTCCGCTGTGCTCGGTTTGAGCATCTTGCAAGCCAGTGTGCACTGAACCTCCAGCCCCGCGCTCGGCAGTGACATGAAAGCGCCCAAAATAAGCTCTGCTGCGCGGCTGCAGGTCGCACGCTGAGTCCCCTTCACCTCTGCTCAAAGCGCCTCTGCTGGGCTGGGAGCTGGGACACCGGTTTGATCCCCGTGCCCCTCTCTTGGTGCGGAGCGGGTGGCGGGAGGGGCGCAGCTGGTACCTGCCGGCAGGGCTGTGACCTGCAGTGTGGGCACAGGAGCCAGGCACTGCCCGGCTTCGCCTGGCGGCAACTGATCTGAAACCATCCAAAAGCTCCTTAGGGCAGGGATTGATCTGCTTGCCGCTTTTTTCTTTCTTTCATTTTTTTCCCCCCTTAATGGTTGATGCACTTGAGAGCTGCTGAGACACCTGCCGAGCACCCACATTGTTCCTAGCGGAAACCTCCTCATCCAACGCCTCTCGAGGTGGTGCGGAGCGCTCCCACCTGCGAGCGAGAGGAGGGCTTTCCATCCGGGAGCAGAAAGCCAGCCTTCACCCAGGATTACGCGAAAGCCGCCTTTTCCAGGGCTGTTTTTTTTTCCCCGAATGGCACTGATGCGCTGAGTGCCGGCTGGTGCTGGCCTTGCCACGCTGGCAAGTGACGGCACTGCGTGCCACGGCTCCCCGAGCTGTTGGTGTGCGCAGGGGCAGAGCCCGGGTTGCTGTGGGAACGGTAATTTGGAAATTCCTCCCTCCTAGGATGCCGCCTTGTTTTGTACACACTGAATTATGAATAACTTCCCAGATTAGCTTCTTCCTCCTGCTGTTTCTCTGGCGTCAGCGCCGGGTGGACGGGAGCCGCTGCGAGCCAAGCGGCACACTTGCACGGTGGGGAGGGTGCGGGGCGGCTGCAAAGCGGTCACCGGTGCCAGCGGGGGGGGTTGCCTTCTCCCTGCCTGCTGGGAGCTGCCAGGCTCACTGCTGGCCCCGCCGCCATTCACGGTGCTGCCCAGGGGATGCCCTGAACGTGGGCTCTTCCCCCCACTGAGTCTGGGGTCTCGCTGCGGCCCCTCATGGTGTTTACCCTCCTCTTTCCCTGTGCTTGGGCGTGTTTAATGCGGTGGCGCAGGGAAGCATGTTGGGGGCACGCTCACAAGCGTGCTGCAGATGCCCCAGAACCTCAAGGTTGCCAGATCGCAGCTGAGTCTCTGGTCTGCGTCTGGCTTCTTGTTTGGGGAGCTCGCTGTATGGAGTGGGCTTGGTATTTGGAAATATTAGTTTAAAAAAAAGGAAAAAACATAAAAAAGCCCCCAACAACCGACTAAAAAAGCCCCATCCAGACAAACTGGGCACCTTGCTCAGCTGTGTGCCCCTCTCCCCCATCTCTGACTCAGTGCTTTGCTGCTTTCAGGGGGATGCTTTCTGCCCCTGAACTCCCCCAGCCCCACAGGGGACCCTTTGGTGCTGCTGCTGCTGCTCCCTATTAATCCCTGCGCCAGCTCCTATGATTCGGAGCTTTCTGCACTGGGGGGCTCAGTGTGGGAGACCCTGATCCTAGCTGCCCTTGCAAAGGTGCAGTCTGAGCACAAGGCATGCACACATCTATACATATTGGGTTGATTTTGGGTTGTTCTGGAAGGCTTTACCCATGAGGTGCTGTGTGTGGGTCCGGCAGCTCCGTAGCAGAGTGCTGGAGCTCGGCAGCGTTGGCTGCGAGCTGCTCTGCCTGTGGTTGGGGCTAGACGCGTACCCAACGTAGTAGGTAGCATGTAGTTAGCACGGCTTCGCCGGGGAGATCCATCTCCATCCCGCCGAGTGCAAATTGGTCCCAAGGCACCTGATCGAGTAGATGGGAAATGACAAACTGAAATTTCAGCGTAATAAAATCCTACAGCCTTTCATCTCCCGCCTTCATCATCCAGCGCGAAATGAATCCTGAGAGCAGGAGCTGATAGCATTTAATATCTCTATCGCTTGTCTCTGTCAGGGAACATAACGTATTCAGATGAAGGTGCATCTCCCGCTGCTGCTCAGGTGCTGGGTCTGTAGGTGCAGTGCCGGTGCCATGGTGCGCAGGGACGGCTGGAGACCCTCGCCGGGCCAGCCCCCTTAGTTCAGGGCAGCGTGTCCGGAGCAGGGATGTTCGTGGCGATCCTTCCCCAGGCCATGCCCTGCCACTGCCATGGGCTTAGTGGCTCACCGGGATGCAGGCTGAGGTGTACTGCTGCTCTCACCGCAGCTGGTGCTGCGCTCGCCTCTGGTGAAATTGCCTGATCCTTGTCTGGCTGGGCTGGAGCCAGGGCCGGTTTCTGCCACATTTAAGCCTGCAGCCTTAAGGCAGGACCTCGTTTCACAGCTGTGGTCCACATCTGGGGCTCGAAACATGGGGTGCTCCAATCTTTGGGGTGAGCGAGGCGTCTCTGGGCATGGGGAAGCCCTTCCCCATCGCTGCAGCTGATGCCCGTCACTCTGGTGTCCCGCCCTGCTCAGCCCTTGTACCCCGTGGTGGGGTTTGTGGTCTGTCTGTCTTGGTGACGGATCTGGCCCTGCCAAAGCAGGTTGCCGGTGCGTTGGATCCGACTGAAGGCAAAGCAGCCCGTGTACCGGCAGGGGGGCTGAGCGTGGGAGCAGAGCCCTGTCTGGCAGTGCCGCTGGCGTGTGTTTCCATGGGATGGGAGGAAGAGCAAACCCCCAGGGAGGAGCGATGGCTGCGAGGGGCTCTGACCTGCTGGATCCGCTGGCATGGGCGCTGCTGCTGCGGGCAGCAAGTGGTGATTCTGGCTCGGGGACCAGGGCTTTCCTGGGTCTCGGTGTCACCATCGTTCCCGGCGTTCGGGAGGTTTCAGCTTTGCTTTTTTTAATCAGAAATTCATTCCCTTGGACAGCTAAATTACAGAATCTCGTTAGCGGCTCTGTGCTCTAGCAAGCTATATTTGCCCAATTGATGCAACGGCAGTACAAATCTGCTCCAATCCCCCAATTTATCTAAACTGATATCTTAATTGGTCATACTCTTGGAGTGGGGGAGTCAAACACAGGGACCCTAATTCAAAGAGAAAAAAGGGAAGAAAACATCCTGCTGGTGGTGGGTTGGGTTTTTTTTGAAGTCTGAAAGTGGGGCAGGGTCTCCCCTGGCCGGAGCGGGGCTGCGGGGAGGGATGCGATTGCTGCTGGGGGGCTCGGGGTTTTGGCAGCACTGGGGCCCCTCCTCGGCCCTGGGAGCCAGAGGGAGGAGGTGGAAAGGGAATCGGGAGCGGAGATGTCCCGGCTCCTTTCCTGGCTGTGCCGCTGCTCCAGGACTCGATGGTCCCTGCTCCTGCCTGTGCAGCAGAGATAAGGTTGACATTGGCGGTGGGGGATTTCTTCAAGGATTGTCTGGACGGCCCTGGGGCACCTTCCAGCCATATTTTCTGAGGACATAAAGCCAAGGCTGTCTGTTTTTTCTTGTTTATCCTGGATGCTGGCTCACGCCTGTCCACCCGCTCTGCACCGACGCCAGCGGTGGGGTGCTGGGGAGGGCTCTTGGGCACCTTTGGGTGCCTCCAGCCCCCTCCGGTGGGGGTGCAAGGTGGTGGGTCTCTGGAGGAGCAGGACCCCGGCGCTGTGCCTGCTCCGGCTGCCGGGGCTTGCCGGCTGCCAGCGTGCTGCCCAAGTGATGGCAAGCCTCGCGTCTGCCGGGAGCGCATTTGGCACGGCGGCAGCTAATTGCAAAGCTGACACGAGCGTCAGGGCTGTTACTGTACCGGGCAAAGTTAGAGGAGCAGGCACTGCCACAAACAGAAAGCAGTGAAAAGCTGGAAACACAGGGAAGCTGGAAATGGCTTCAGAAAAAGAAAAAACAGACGGGTTTGGGCTTGGATTTTTTTTTTCCCCCTTCTCAAATGGGCTTGTGCGCGGGTTCCTTGGCTTTCTGATACGTTTTCAAGGCAGAGAACTGCTGGCTCCCATTGAGCTGCGAGCAGATGAGGGATTAGCCAGCCCCCGCACCCGCCAGCCTCCGGAGAGCGGGAGCTGGCACCTGCGAGGGGTCCTTGTTCCCAGCCGGTGGGGACCCTCGCAGCC